ATTGCACGTTCGTTAAATATTATATGTAGTTTTACTTCAGAATCGCGCAAGAAATTTTCTTAAAACTGTACCACAACGGATACACGACAGAAAATTTCGTAGAACAATTTTACTGCTGTTCCTGCCAACGGTATGGGTGTGCTGTGGACTTTCTTGCTTCAGAGCTTATGTTCCATTGTGCGTCATTCAAGGTTTTTGGCCGATCGGTTCATCGAAGGTATATGCCCGTTCTGCGCGTTCGAAGATGCCCGTGGTGATCAGTGCGACCACTGCTGTCGTCTGATCAACGCCTGTGAGCTGATCTCACCGAGATGCAAGCTATGCGGGACGAGTCCTGAAATCCGAACTTCCAAGCATATTTTTCTGAATTTACCTAAGGTGGGTAGTTTTCTGCATGATTTTTGTTACTGTGAACGTCGAAACGGTCGTTGGCTATTGATATATGTCGGTTACATTTTGCGTCATATTTTTATGTAGAAAGGACCTTGTAAATACAGACCATAGAAAAGGATAATGGGGACAGTTACATGTAGTACGAATGATGAAAAGGCCAGGCAGAATACTGAAGAATTAATGGGATAAATACGATTCAGTATCTTTGACGTCACGAGGATTGTACAAGACCGAGAGAACTGGAATTGTTGAAACCTGGGGTAACGGCATCTTCAAAACATTACAAAACGCAACACATGCAGTCATACTCAATGTCTCATCGTGGTGATAGTTTGTCCAGTCGACCTTGACATTGTGTAGTAGTGTCAGCTTGATTTCCAACGGACTTCACAACAGTTGTATTTGTTCTTGACGTTATTTAGACAGATTATACGTACGAAAACTTAACTATAAGAACGTCAACACTGTGTATGAGGTGATCAGTGAGATCATAATGGATGTTGACTTCCGTTGTTTACAGCGTGAGTTGTCACTATGCCGATTGACGCCGCAGTATCGATGGTCTTTCATACCATGTTATTTCCAGGAGTATCTTTGAAGCTAAGCTGTTGAATCTTTTGCTATGCTGTTGATAGACACTTCTTGCGTAGCCACTATTTCCATTGTTTTTACAAATGAATAGTGTATTTTTGGCGCGAAGTCGGCGATGTCATTACAATTACTCAAGCGTGTACATTACTGCTTAATTTTGAGAATTTCATAACTCTCAGTAATATCTGGTAATCATATGATTTCCGATGCATAGCTGATGTCCTCGTCAGACCAGAGAGACATTAGACTAAAGTCTTGGAGATAGGGCACGGCTAAAGAAATTCACTGGATCTAGATGGATAAGAATCACAGAAAATAAGTTTTGGTAAAGTCTTGGATAAGCTTTCATCCATCAGTTGATTCGGCTTCTGATGATGACCTGAAACGTCCTATGCGAAATGAAGTGTCTTCACTATATCGGGGCTCATCCTCTTTCCAGCGCATGTGCCTAGGCCAGAATTTATTAGATATGCCTGTTTCCGGTGCTGTTTGGTGATGCCGAAAAATGAACGCTTCTGTTATCTCATATAGGCAAGCGTTTACTCCATTACCGGAGTGAACTCATCAGCATCACGGGTTGCAGTCGTTTCATAGCAAACTGGTGATCATACCAGCAGCAAAATTGCATGTCTTAATAATTAATGGATTTTCATTTCCGTCGCTCTAAGATGACGTCATTGGTGTAAGATGATGTCGTTACCTGTATTTTTTCATTAGGCCGGAGATTGTAGTCCTCCAAACGGTTACCCTAAAAACTAATGGGCTCCACAAGTCAGCCACAGTACCAGTCTGCTTGACTCTAACGGATGCTTACGATGATTTCATGGCTTGAGGACTAAGCGAACAGCGGACGACACTGCTTCAAAACTAATCGTCCTTCATTTGTACCGTGTGAATTTTCTTTTTGTACCAGCGATCTGGTAATTTATACGATTACTCGTCATGCGAAACATCGATGATCGACTTTTAAATCTGTGAGAGAAAAATAGGTAATAGGATTTCTTTATATAATCAGCGAATATATATATATATTTCAGGTCAGTTTCTAAACTTCTTGTTATTCCTCTCTCATAAGGCGATGCAAAGTTGCTGCTGACCCAGCATTTGGCCTGCCACTGGATTTTTGAGAGAGGTAGATGCAACATGTTTACAACTGTGCACGTAAACTGTTGAAAGAAGAGGTACATAAATATGTCAGAAAATGTACATGTTCCACTAAAGAAGCAGACAGCAAAAATAATCAAATTTACGTTTACACTGTGCTGATTTTCATATAGCTGTTAGGTGGGTCAAGGCGCATTGCAGCCGTAGAGCACACGCGTTAGAGCGTACGAGTATGGACATATCTCGTACGCTTTGGCATAATTGCATCAAAGCACTATACATTCTCTATTGTTTACTGAATCGAATGTTGTTCTTCTCAAATGTTGCTCCTCATGACTCGTTTTTGCTTCTAATGCTTTCCTTCTTTCGCTGCACATCACAATGTCATTTGCGTAGAGCAGACAGTATGGAGCTGCTTTCTGCAAAACAGAGAAATTAGAAGTTAATAAGCTAATTAATTAGCAAAGCTACGTACTAACTGCGCGACTATCCACGTAGTAGTTCTGGGGAGGGGGCAAAACTGATTACCTTGTTCGTTTGTTGGTAGACATGCTGAAGTGATATGTAGGATAAAGGCGGTTTATCTACGCACTAAAGTACCAGTCTGCCAACTTGTCGTTATCACCCAATTAACTGACCCATTTTGTGATGTTCCGATCAAGGGGAAATCGTGGCGTATGAACTATATGTGTCATATAGTAGATTTAGAGATCTACAAGGGTTAATGAAGTGAAAACACGACCAAAAACCTCAGCTGCGCATATTTTTTCATTGAAGTCGCTTTGGCGAACCGTTTTCTATTGCATATCAATGCTTTATGACTAGGTGGCAGGTTTTTGAAAAGGGGTCAAGCTGTATAACCCTGCTTTGTCATCTCACAGTGAGATCTTTTCGTTTAATTCGTGCTACAGAAGATATGCTAATTGGAAAAAACTGAAAATTAACATGAGCTCTTATTGTATGCAAATTTTCAACGATATATTTTAGTTGCAACCTCAAGTTGAGACTTATCTGAAGTCACAGTTTGGAAAAGAAGATTGCTACTGGTCGCACAATGCTCTAGCCATCTCTCAGAGCTGGCTAACAGAAGGTCTGAAAGAACGATGCATTACGCGCGACTTGTCTTGGGGTACGCAAGTTCCGTTGGAGGGCTATGACAAGAAGGTATTCTTTGATTTGTCAGTTTAATATGCTTCAGTTACCCCATTTCGTTCCTTAAAGGTATTTTACGTGTGGTTTGATGCTCCCATTGGTTATGTATCGATTACTGCTAATTACTGCAAAGATTGGAAGAAATGGTGGATGAATCCAGATGAAGTAAGGAAGCATAATCTGAAATTTTGCATATCTTTTGACAAAGTGTGTCTTTTGGCATAGCCCGTGTGCAATTTGAAGATCAGAAAGAACCTTTGTCGTGAGTGTAAATATTTACGGCGGCGTTTGCCTGAGTGAGGATAAAGATGATGGCTTCAACTTTCATGCATTTTGTTGTTATTTGTCATCATTCATTGAATATCTTCGTATGCTCTATGTCCTTTGCAAGGGAGAAGAAAGCACGGTGCACTTGGAAGGATTAAACAGTAGAGCCTCTGGTACGATATAGTGCCTACCACTGATGGAACATGTGTGATCATTCCGTTGCCTGCTGATATTTGTGCAGCTTAAATACTAGCAATTTCAGCGCTTTTGCATGTTTGTGGAATATGCTCAGAATCGTTGTATTTCCTTTCAATTTTTTATTCATGACCTCTGAGTCTAATTGCGGACAGTCTGGCGCATCCCCAGAAATGGAAATCAGTTATTGCTAATAAGCAGCCGTTGACAGGCGGCGGGGGCACTATCAGCGCGTGACTAGAGACGGGTCCGGTAAACCTGTCACCTATGAAATGGCCAAATTTTACCTTCTGACGGTTCCTTGGCGAAGCGGGAATGATCCGCCAGTATTACGATCACCGATACCACCGTTGCTGCTTTTTGATTAGACCTGGAAAGATTTAAGCTCAAAGAGGTTGTTGTCTTTGTTCGTACTGTGCTTCGAGTTGCACATGGACTGCCATGAAGCGGCTCATTGATTGACATTGTAACTGACTTTTCATTGCAGGTGGATTCCTCTGCGTTTCGTAAGGCTGATCTGAGTCCAATAAACCATCATCAATTCACAACCATCCATTTTACTTTCCCAGCCCGATAGGAAATTTATTCAGTTAGTTTGTTATAGTTTCAGCATGAACAGCGCTTATGCTTTTCGTTGATAAATTAGCTGTCTGGACATCTGATGTAACATGTACATCATTGAGATTGGATAATGCCCGAACCGTAGGATCGCATGCTAGAACCAAGTGGGTTGCAGTGTATTTTCTATAGCCATTGCGATATCATTAAAAATATTCAAAAGTCTCAGCTAATGAAACAGTGCTAGCCTTTACAGCGAATCTGCTTACAATAAGAATACGTTGAAGTTCGAATTTATCCCAGGAAGTTATGTTCGATGATTGTATATTTGGCTCATGCGTTGGTGATCATACTGCAACAGCGTAAAACACTGTCAATTTATAAGCCGTTACCAAAATGGACTATCGAGTCCAAATAATCTTTATGCTTTCAAGAGGACCCGTGAGATACAGACCCTTACGTTGATATTTTTCAACCATCTGATTGACCAGTGCTTTGCGTGTGTATAAGTAGATCGTGTTGTATTCTATTCTCAAGAAGATATGATAACAGTTTTAGATCTTATTGTTTGCATCTGAGTAAGACGGGAAGTTTGTATCGTACGATTAAACACTGACTCACACAAATCTGGTATTTTTATGAAACATTTACTGTCTTCGTATTTGCGTAATTCATAGCGTTAATTCACAGTGAGTGGAGGTGGAGAACTGAATTAGTTACGAAATCAGTTCACAGAATGAGATGTGCAACTGCGACTATTACAATTCTGTCAGCAGCGCGTTTTTAGTCATTTAACCTAAATTAGAAAGGCGTTTAGTTCTCGACTACTGGATTGTCTTCGCCATTGGGGGAATTGCTAAAGTCCCCGGGATGAGCGTCAGGTGCTCGTCTGAGTGAAGCTAAGCGCTCTAAGTT